GTTTTGATAACCTCCACCTCCACTAAATTTGTTAAGTCTCCTGTTAGTAACTCCATGTGTGTCAAAGTAGAACTGTGTTCCATAGGGTTTTGAAAGGCTGCTTTTTCTAAAGTAGGTTGCCAGATCTTTTTTCTGAAGCACTTCTGAGTGGACTTGAACCTCCAACTTTTTGGTTAGCAATTTAAGACCTTTTGCATAACCCGGGGACTCCTTCATTCTCCTACTTAGGTAGCTTTCTTATAAAAACTTCTTGTTGTGAAGTGCCGTCGAGTCGATTCTAGAAGGTTCTTTATTGTCAATCTGAACTACCCAGAGGCACCAGCAGATCCTGGTGATCTGCTTCCAAAAGGTGACAGCTTTGAAAACTCTAAGGAGCACAGTTCTAATCTGCAATATCAGGGTTGCCATGAGTCCAAATAACTTGCAGCAACCCATTTGGTTTTTGTTGGCTTTCTGACAGGCTATTTGTTGGCTTGCGTTCATCGCTGACTTTGGCTCTGTAATCCTTTGTGTTTGGGAATTCCTATTTTGCCTGATTGCTGATTTGATTACAAAGGAGTATTTCTTGTGATTTGGGGAGAGGAGATGGCTATCCTATGAGGTTGTGTCTTCTCTTCTGGGTCTGGGAGCTCCTTGTCTTTACTGGAGTGGTTAGCTACAGGGGTACTAGCCTGCCTGTCCACCATCTGGACACTTGCTATTGCTGCCCACTACTAAGGAGCTCTGGTAGCGTAGTGGTTACGAATCGGGCTGTGAACCTTAAGGTCAGCGGTTCGAAACTACCAGCCGCTCCGCGGGAGAAAGATGAGGCTTTCTACTCCCGTAAGGATTTACACCCTTGGAAACCCTGTACAGGGTCGCTATGGGTCGGACCCGACTCGATGGCACTTAACAACAACAACAACAACTCAGGAGATACAGCCAGAATGTTCCTTGGAAGCAAGGATGATGAGACTTCATCTCACTAACTTTGTCAACAAGAGGGACCCATCCCTGGAGAAAAACATCATGCTTGATAAAGTACAGAATCAGCAAAATGAAGACACCTCCAACAAGATGGATAGACACATTGGCTGCAACAGTGGGCTCAAACTTAGCAACAATTGTGAGGACAGCTCAGGACTGCGCAGTGTTTCATTCTGTTATCCATAGCATTGTTAGGTGTTGGAACAGACTTGAAGGCACCTAACAACAACAACTCATGGGTGAAGATGGAGGAGAGGGGACCCTCAGCCTAGAGGCTCAGCAAGTGTTTCCCACTTCCCTGAAAATGACCTCTCAGTCTCTCTTCTTCTCCTCCAGCTGTTGTGAGCTTGGTGCCTCGTCCTAAATGTCCCACCAGGGACAGATTACCCAATCATAGGTTTATGCTTGCTTACTACTAGTCTGTAATAAACACTTTCACATGGGTTTCTCCACGTCGTTTGTGGTGAAAAACATGTAAAACTGTCCACTACATATTAGTAAGTAAACACAAGCCGGTGCTTACCTTGCTGACTAGGTCTCTGGTCTCATCAGGGATTGTAAATGTGAAAAAAGGCCTTGATCTTGTAGGAAGGTGCTGGGGGGGAGGGGGGTTGGGAAAGAGGTAGACTCCAGCTGTATCTACAAGTAGAATCTTTGATGTGGTGAAAATGTGAAATTATCCACTACAGATTAGTAGGTTGTTGTTGTTGTTAAATGCCATCAAGTCAATTCCGACCCATAGCGACTCTGTATAGGGTTTCCAAGGAGCAGCTGGTGAGTTTGAACCACCGACCTTGCAGTTCAAATGGTTTTGCAGTCTGGTGCATTAACTCACAGCACCACACCAGGTAAGCACCCGTAAACCCATGCTTACTTGTTTACAGGTAACCAGGCACTGCCCCTTCAAGAGGTCCTTTATCAGATGAGGGTGGGGCTGGTACTCAACCCAGAGCCAAATCTGGAAGTAAAACTGCTCCAAACTCCAGACCAGCTGTGGATGATTCACTCAGGCTGTGCTGAGACTTTGGTGGGTGCTGTTTGCCTTTCTGGTAGCCCCCCTCCTAACCAGGCTGGTTTGGAACCCCTGAGACTTGGACAGCTTCCCTGAGTGTCAACCTGTAGATTGAACCGTATGAAATGTCCTGGGGTGGCATGGTAGGATAAGCACTGGACCACAAGGTCTATTTGAACTGCACGGTTGGTGGTTCCAACTCACCTGCTGCTCCTTGGAAACCCTATACAGTGTTGCTATGAGTTGGAACCAACTTCAATGGCACTTAACAATAACAGCAACATAGGTCAGTGTGGATTCCTGATGTGGCAATGTAGAATAATGACTGGGCTGCTAACTCCAAGGTTGATGGTTCAAACCTACCAGTTGCTCCTTGGAAAACTGTGTACAGGCCTACTATGGTTGCTATGAGTAGGAACCGACTCCAGGGCGCTTAATAAACAACACAGATAAAAAATGGTTAAGTGCTGACAATTTCCAAAATCCCTGTTGTTTTTTTGTTAAGGGCAGTCGAGTTGGTACTGACTCATAGCAACCCTGTAAAGGATTTCCGAGGAGTGGCTGGTGAGCTTGAACCGCCGACCTTGTAGTGCATTAACCCACAGCGCTGCACCAGTCCTTGGGTGGTACAAAAAGAGCTCTCGTGTCACTGTAGGATAAACGCTGCTCTGGTGGCGTAGTGGTTACGTACGAATCAGGCTGCGAACCTCATGGTCTGCAGTTCGAAACTACCAGCAGTTCTGTGGGAGAAAGATGAGGCTTTCTGCTCCAGTAAAGATTTACAGCCTATGGGGGGTTGCTGTGAGTTGGAATGGTTTTTTGTTTTTTGTTTTTTTTGGGTGGTGCAAATAATTAACATGCACAGCTATTTACAGAAAGGTTGAGTTCATCAGAGGTTCATTGGAAGAAAGCCTTGGTAATCTACTTTTTAAAAAATCAGCCACTGAAAACCCTGTGCAGCACAGCTCTACTCTAACACACGTGATTTGTCGTCATGAATCTACCGCAACTGGAATTAGCAATTTCTGGGTGCCTCTGGTCTGATGGAGCAATGGTGAATCACTAGGCTGCTAAGCAGTGCATTTGAACTTAAATTCCAAAGCACTTGGTTTGTGGAAGGTTCAGAACTACAGTGGGAGCCTTAGCTCCATTTTGAGTCTTGACATCAAGTTTAGATGCCATTTTCGTTTTTCATTACTTCCCCAATGCTTGCTGAGCAGCAACGCAGTCAAACCCACCAGCTGCTCTGCAGGGGAAAGATGAGGCTGGCTGCCTTTGTAAAGATTTATAGCTTCGGACGCCCTTTGGAGTCATTCTACTGTGTCTTATAAGGGTCACTATGCGTTGGGATCTATTTGACAACAGTGGCAGACCAAGTCCAGGGCAAGCCCAAGGAGGCACACTGTGTCCTCAGGAAGCATGTGATTGGAAGAAGACTAACTAGTATGCAGAAAGTTCTCACACAACGAACTAGGGACCCAGTCTGGGCATTTACTGAAAGTAGCGTCAGAAGCATGTTATCTCATTGAAGTCTAAAGCTGGGGTCCTGGGGGCTATGACTCAGGGCTGCATAATCATGATCCCTGTTGTTGTTGTTAAGTGCCATCGAGTCGGATCCCTAGGTCATCAAAATCCCAGAACCAGTCCTGTAACCTTGATAACTTGCAGTTGTGTACTTAGTGAATCATGGTCCTTTCCCCACTCCGTAGTCCCGAGTGCGACAGTGATGAATTCTCCTACCACTAAATCACGATCTTGTGATGATTTCCTTGGTCCTCGATTATACAGAACGAAAACCATGGCTGTGAGTCTCTGGAGTCCATAGATCTCACCACTATGTGCATGTTTATCTGGATGATTATGTGTGTTTCTCCTGTTTAAGGCTTAGTAAAAGGGTCTTTCTAGAACATGTTTGAATCTGGGTCTTTATCCCCTAGCCCAGCGGTTCATACCCACCCAGAATCTCCTTATAAGAAAGACCCAGAAACCTGCTTTTGTGAATATGACAGTCAAGAAAACCTTCTGGGGCCGTTCTACTGTCACCCGGGTCACTATGTGTTATAAATGGATTCGATAGCACCCGGGAACAACTAATATAGTTGCCTCATTCACTAACTCAGTTCCTTCTGCCTCGTGCACATTTACCATGCAATTCTGTGTGTCAGGAACCCTAAACCACTGTCTTCATTTGTCACAAGTCTCTGACGCAAACAGACAATTGTTGCTCATTTGACAGTGAAGAGAATTTCCCCTAGTGAAATTGTTTAGGAGCTGGTTCGTCTGCTAAACTTAAGATTTTGACCATACTCATGACAGTATTTTGAGCTGTAGCTAAAAGAGTTGGGATCTTGGATGTAGGCAGCTGGGTGAGAAATCAGAAAATGTTCTAACTTGGCAGAGACCGTTGTCACCTAGGCGGATATGATGGACACATCCCCTTACCATTCTGTGACTCAGTCTTCTCATCAGAGAAATGGGGGCAAGAACAACAGAGTTTAGAAAAACGAGGGAAGTTCCAGGCCCTGCAGCCAGAAGTAGGTCTGGGAGGAGAAGGAACCCCACCCTCATCCACCACGTGGAGCGCCCGCGGGTCTGCAGCAGGGCCGCAGGGTGATTCCCTTGGGGGCGCGAGATGGGGTGTGCCCGAGCTGGGGTCAACCGGCCGACACTGCTCGGAAGGGAAGCTCTGGTCACCGTGTTCCCCCGCCACCCTGGCAGCGCGGAGAAAGGGTGGTGAGGGCGGAGACTGAGAGGCGTGGATTTCAGATCCTTTTTTTTTTTTTTTTTTGTCTGCCTAGCTCTGGAAAGGATCTCTTGCGCCTTTAAGAGGCTAACTCCGGCAGCCGATTGGTCGAGGCGCGCCGTGACGTCACGCTGGGGCCGGCGCCGAGGCGCCCGTGGGCCCGACCCTCCCCCGCCGCGGAGCCAGCAAACAGTCGGCGCGCGGCCCGGGCCGGCTCCCCTCAACCTCTTTTGGCGCGTCGCCCCGAGTACGGGGGATGCCCCCGGCCGCGCCCCCCTCATGGCCGCCGACGTTTTCACGTGCTCCCCTCGCCGGCTGCGCGGCCGGGGTCGCCCGGTGTTGCCCAAGTCCCAAGTTCCCGAGGACGATGACGACTCGGATACAGACGAGCCGTCCTTGCTGCCAGCCTCAGGGGCGGCCACCGTGGCCCGGGCCCACGCGAGCGCCGCCCCGCCGCCGCCCCGGGCCGGACCCGGCCGCGACGAGCCTCCGCGCCGCCAGCAGATCATCCACAGCGGCCACTTCATGGTGTCGTCGCCGCATCGCGAGCACCCGCCCAAGAAAGGTTACGATTTCGACACGGTCAACAAGCAGACGTGCCAGACCTACAGCTTCGGCAAGACCAGCTCCTGCCACCTGTCCATCGACGCCTCACTCACCAAGCTCTTCGAGTGCATGACCCTGGCCTACAGGTAGGGCCTGCGACCCCGGCCGGCCACACCGTGCCAGGACCAAACGGCTAGGAGCCCGGGCCGCTAGGGACCCCCGGGCGTCGCGTGGGCGCCTTGGCTCCAGTCCCCTCTCCCCTGCCAGCCGAGCTTGTGGGGTCTTTCCGGCTCCTCGGTTCCCATTCGGGCATCCCCTGCCCCCGGGGCCACGGATTTGGGAAGTAGAAAGGGGTGGAGACAGGCCTGCCAACCCTTCCCCCAAACGCTCTGTGGGTCCCCAGTAATGTCAGGGAGGGGGCTCCACCACCTGTCAAATGGGAGTGAAGTCTTGGCCCGCTGCTGTTTCACGGAGGTGCAACGTTTGGAAGCCCACGTCTCCTCCTTTGTACTACGGGGATGACAGCGCGTCTGCCACATGGGGCTGACATGGGGGACTGCTTCTTCCGGTAGATGGGCACATCCTTCCTTTCTGAGCACCGTTGGCTGCTTTCCTGACTGCCCCCCTCTGCCCCATTTCCTAGTGGTGTGTGTGTGCGGGGCTTCCCCGGCTTGGGTGGGGGTCCTGGGGGCTTCCTCCGAAGCCTTCTGGAGCTATAGTCTGCCTTCCTGGCGGGTTGGAAGGGTCCCCAGTGACCGTGAAACAGTAAATGTGGATGATGTGGGTGGATCAGCTGCGGCTGCAGTCTCTTTTCTGGAAGTCACCCAAAAAACGTCTGGCCCTCCAGGGCTAAAATGGGTTCCTCCTCTCCCCACCTAAGCCCTGGGTGTCCATGCGGCCCTTGATCCCGGTAACTTTCTGTTGGGCACCTTTGCCTCCTGGGCAGCAGCTGCCACCGCAGTTTGGTGTGAGCAGCCTGCCCAAGTGCTGCTGGGGGTCTCCCTGGAGTGGCCAAATGGGCTTTGCCGGCAGCCCCACCACAGGCACCGTTTCCTGGGAGATTCCAGAAGAGTGGGATCGCCCTCTTCCCTTTACAATTTCCTGGGGAGTGCTGTAAGCCCCACATATGTCCAAGTGAAACATCCGGCATTACACTAGATACTTGGCTCTGGAGGGCATTTTCCCCTCTGGAATAACTGATTTGACAACTTGTTCTTTTGTTATGTTCCTGAAATGCACTGCCCCTTCCCCCCACCCTTCATTTCCTTTCTGGGAGGTTTCCCTCTCTGACAATTTGTTTGTCACATGGCTGTGGCTTATTACCCAGAGTTCAGCCTCCCACCCTTTTCATGGCATGCTGGTCAGGTGCTGGATCCACTCTGGTTCTCTGGTCTTGCCAGTTTGAGCTGGCACTGAGGGAGGATGCTCTGGATTTTAGTGAGAACAAACGATATTGAGGTGGTAGCTTTGCACCCCCTTGATTAAAAACAGTAACAACAAAAAACAAACCCACTGTGTGTGTCAGGTCGATTACTACTCACAGTGCCTCTGGAGGACAGTAGAGCTGCCCCACACAGTTCCAAGATTGTCATCTTTATGAAGCTGAAGGCCTCCTCTTTCTCCTCTGGAGTGGCTGGTGGGTTTGAACCACTGACCTTTCAGTTAGCATCCAAGCACATAACCACTGTGCCACCAGAGTTCCTGTTGCCCTGCTTACTCGGCCTGAAAATCAAACCCAGCCAGATTATAGCATACTCTGCCCTCTGAGAGGTGACAGCCAGAACTGTGTTTTATTAAAGAGAATAGAATCCTGGTCTTTATTTTTATACAAATTTCTGGTGTACAGAGAGAATGGATGATTGATTCACAAGAGGCCTGGAAGAGAAAGGCCTCCTCTAAGCTCTGCTAAAGGAAAAATAAACCTGTCTTCCCTTTTCCTTCCATTTGGATCATCTCAAGGCCTACTATTAAATAACACCGAAGAATTATACTAATGGCTCTTTTGTTTTCCCATTTCTTTAAGAAATATTTTGGCAGCTGGCCACTGCTCATAGAGCTTTCTGGATTGCAAAATGCTCCATTAGTTTGTTATAAGAGGCTTACCTTGCCTCTCCAGGCATCGGTGCTGTTATTTCTGGGGCCAGTGGGTACTGCCTGGTCATTTCTCCTGCAGATGCTGTTGTCTTTGTGAGGCTGGCGGGCCTGGCAGGTCCCTGAGTATAGTTGGCAGTGTGGTGCTTTGGTCCAGATTGACAGGAATAACTCAGAACCAGTTGTCTGGCACAGAAAGATGAGCAAGCAGAGAAGTGTGTTTGGGAACCTCAGCTGTAGAATTCAGAGGTGGCCTAACCTCCATGACTTTGAGCCTTCCCGTTTGAGTGTCCAGGCTTTTCTCCTCATTGGGTTAAGAGAAAGGCCAGCTGGGTCTCCGCCTCCACGTTTGTAGCCTAGGTTCTCTCTAACTTCTACTTCCTGTCTGTCCTTGGGCCACAGCACTTTAGCTGCCTAACTCCCCCTGGTACACTCTGTGCTTTTTTTGCTTTGGTTTCTTGTCAACTGCTGCTACCGCTACCTCCCAGCTATTTCCAGATGAGGTTCAACAGCTTTATGGGGAGGAACTAAGTATGGGGGAAGTTGTGGTCATTTTTTCCCATCCTATCCCATGAAGTTCACTAGTCTGTGCTCCTGAGAAGGTGCAGTCTTCAACTCCTGAAGGATCTTTGAGTGGGACCCACTTTGGGTGGGGGTGCTAGGGCATGTCAGTGTGCCCAGGAATCTGTGTCTGGGGGCTCTCTGTAGAAGAGATTCAAATGGCACTGTTGTGAAGATGAAGAAGTTGCCTTTCCCCGAAGCAAAACGTTGGGGTAGATGACAGGCAAAAAACACCCGTGACTTAACTTTTCTGGGCCTTCCTGTCTGCCCCTGTAAAATGAGGAGGTTCTACTCTATCCTCTGGCGTCCATTGCAACCCAGTGATCCCATGTGACACGGTAGAAATGTCCCACGAGATTTTCAGTTTCTTTTAGAAATTTGCCCACAGGGTTTTCCTGGCTATAGTGAAGAAGTCCTTTTCCTGAGTGGGTTTGAATCTTCAACCTTTCGCTTAACCATTTGTGTCACCAGGACTCCTTTCAGATGTGACTATTGCTGTGTGTTGCCAAGTTGATTCCAGCTCAGAGTGACCCTCTAGGACAGTGTAGAACTGTCTCTGAGGTCTCCTAGGCTGTCATCTTCAAGGGAGCAGATTGCCAGATTGTTCTCCCACAGAGTCACTCTTTTGGGTAGCAGCCATGCGCTTAACCATTGCATCACCAGGGCTCCTTGTGAATGTGAGTAGTGCCCAGCACGTGTGCAGGAGGGACCCATCCATGGAGAAGAACATGATTCTTGGTAAATTCAAAGAGAAGAAAAAGAGACGGACTGACAGTGGCAGCGGCGGCGGCTCCAACGTAACCACGGTTGTGAGAGTGGCCCAGCACTGGGTTGTGTTGTGTGTTTTTTGTGTGTATAGGATTTTTATGAGTCAGAACCTGCTTGATGGTATTAACAATAGCAAGAGATTTAATGGGCTAAATACAGCAAGTTGGTTTTGAGAGAATTTCAGTTCTACACCCTTAATTCAGCTGACATTTAATTGACTGGGGTCTTTTGGTGTGCCTTTCATCTGAAAGTGTGCCTGCTTGAGAACTCCTAAATAGAAGCATTTTGGGCTGGGCCCGCATGCTTGTTGCACCTCCACAATGGCGCTGTGTGCTGGAAAACATAGTTCATGGTGTGCACCCTCTTCACATCTTAAAGGATGTCACACATGTAAACCACCCACACAGATAAAGAACACAGCTAGTGTAGAGCTCTTTGTGGTTCGCTTCCTTTGTAATAACTTCTCAAGGATGCCTTGGTTGGGAGTGTCTGAGGGCACATCTTTGTATATATTTAGAAATAGGCAGTAGCTTTCTGGAAAGTGGGTTTTTGCTTCAGTTGCCATTTGAGGAGACTTTTTTACTAGGACCTGTAAGATAGCCTTGGTGGAGAAGTTTTCAAGATGTAGCTCTGTATAGCAGTCCTGTCGGTGGCCCGAGGTGGGAACCTGTGCTGAGGACTAGCAAGGCCGGAAGGGTTCGAGGAATCTGAATGGCAGGCAATGCTGACTAGGTGTCAAGGTAGAGCATCCACACAAATCCCTGAGGGCAGTTTTTCTTGTGCTTTTTTTTTTTTCTTTCAGTCTTTAATCTTTGAATCTTTAGCCCTTTTACAGCACAACCTCTTTTTATTGCACTTCTCAGACGAAGCATTTTTTACAAATTGAACGTTTGTTGCAACCTGATGTTGAGCAAGTCTACCGGTGCCATTTTTTTTTCCAAATAGCCTGTGCTTTCTTCCTGTCTCTGTGTCCCATTTTGGTCATTCTCACACGATTTCAAACTTTTTCTTCATTCTCTTGCATACTTCATAGACTACTGTCTAGTGTCAACATAATTGTGTATTCATTGGGAAACCAAATTCTGTGACTGGCTTTATTGTGATAGTAGCTTAATTGTGGTGGTCTGGAACCAAATCTACAAATCTCTGAGGCATAACTTGATGGATAATGTGCACTGAGGTGGGGAGTGGCTATGGAGATGAAACAGTCTTTGTCTCTGAGGAACACACAAACTTGGAACAGGGGACAGATAACAGATGATTATAGAGTAGTTAGTAAGGGTAGTGATTAAAATGTCAACCAGGATATAGATAGATAGATATAGACATATTTCTCTCTCTCTCTCTCTCTCTATATATATATACATATACATACATACATACATATATATATATATATATATATATGAGCTCTGGTAGCGTAGTGGTTACGAATTGGGCTGCGCACTGCAAGGTCAGCAGTTCGAAACTACC